TCTTACCATCACAAGGCCATCACCGTATTTTTAACTGATGGTTACTTGGCATAGGAAAATCATTGGCCCATTACCAATACCTCGGCATCGTCACTTTCCCAGACTAGCCTGCACTAGGCCGGACTTCTCCCGCTAGTTCAATGTTTGCTGGGGTAAGACATACTGCTCTAAAATGTCAATGTAAATTTGGGCATTCATCGACTGTCTCACCGGAAAAACATGAAGGAGTGTCTTTCCATTCATCGAAATCCATTAAAACCATTGAAACTTTCGCATTCTGTTATTAAATTTTGATTAAACCGTTCACCAGTTCTTCTCCACACTCTTTCTCTTCCATCCACCATGTTTAGGCAAAACCTTGACTCATCCGTAAACAAGACATTCCACCATCCAGGAATATTCCACTGTCCATAATTTTCAACAGAATTTCTTCAGAAGCACGATGTTCTGGCAATAATTTGGGACCTTTTGCAGGTCTGCAAGCTTTTAAATTAACTTCTTTTATAGACGTCTACATACCGTCTGCTTACTTAGTGCAACATCACGAATTTGGCGAAGATCTTGCTGAACATTTACCGCAGTATTTGATCGATCTCGCAATCTCAAGAAGCGATCATTTCTTGGAGAAGTTTTTCGGGGGCGACCAGAACCGACCCTCCCAGTTGTGCTTCCTGTTTGTTCGTACTTGCGGATTGCTCTACGAGCAGTTGCTTCATGAACTCCCACTGCAAGAGCGGCGTAACGTTTACTTCGCCCATCGTTTACTAACGCAACTAATCTTGCTACTTGTACCACTTGTACTTGTACCAGAGTACAACCCAATCAATTTTGCGTACTCTGATCCTTCAATAAATTCAATTTGTGGGATAAGCGTAAGGTATCAGCAAAAAAGAAGTAATTCGGAAAATTTTGAAGATAAATCAATGAGTAAAAAAACAAAGTGCTCGTAAAAGAAGCCTCTTTCGTATAGGGTGTAAGCACTTTCTATGCCATTACTCAATTAACACACAGGGTGAGTAAAAAATTAAGAATAAATCAGTGTTCGAGTTATTCCACCACCATCAAGGAGGCTTTGAAAAAATTTTCACCTTCTTATTTTTTTTCTAAAGACAAATGCAAAACCTACCAACAAATAAAAAAAAATCGGCCTACTATTTTTTTTTACGAAGTCTCAGTACATCATATCTACTGTAGAAGTGAAAAATATGTCACTATTGACGTTTATTGGTAGATAATGTCATCGAGAATAAGCGTTTCTAAGTGAATATTTTTTCCATTTTTGCAGAAAAATATTCATGATGATGTTGAATAATTAATGACTGTTTCAAACACTATAATATATATTATATTATATATCTGACGATCTGGCGTAGATTCGACTAGTGTATACAACCCCATCCAGACACTGAATCCCAACAGTTTTTTCTGTCTTGAACCCATTCTTATTGTTATACACTTCAGATGGAAAAAGTAACTTCAATTCACTTTATCGTTTTCCACAATAAATTTTCTCTATCGGAATGAAACCTATATCCAAACACATTGTGGAGACCAGCCACTTTTTTATCAATTCTTTCTGGAATACATTCTGTATTTCAACTGAGACCTATCCTCTTTGTCGTAGACAAGTCTCCTGTAGGTACAATGGTATGAACACTAACTGATGTATATATATCATCCGAATTTCCTTTGGCTCCCAGCTTCTGACATTCAAAAAATAATCTCCCATTGAGTTTATGCATAGGTTTATGTATATAATGTTATTTGATAGCGCTGTGTTGAGGATTTCAAACTCAAAAGCATATTCTCTTGGAATTGCGTACATGTAAAATTCTAATATCTTGTAAGAGGTATGAATGAACAAAGCAAAATCTTACCAGCGGGACTTAATGATGAATTCACTGGGTCACATCTTCCTCGACTCGAGATAGTACACCGGGTGAGAACGGGACAAAATAAACAGTAAAGATAGAGCATTGCGGTTTTCGCGACAGTGTGCTACTTTTTTATGAAATTAATAATGGCGCAAGCAGAATTGTGATAGCTCTTCCGGTTGTCGAGATACAGGATGGAATTGAAAAATATCACTTTTCAGGCACCCTCCGTGTCTCAGTTATCTTTGAACTTATCGAAGAGTTTTTCTCGTAGAATCCAGTGGCGTAGTTATTTTTTTGCTAGCACCTTTTGTTTTTTAGTTATGGAGCAAACATATGTTTTTTTAAATGGAACACCCTGTATATTATTTCATATATACATTGAGCATGAAGTGGGCTTTCCAAAAATATATAATTGTATACAATTATTTTCAAAAACAAGCTCAGAATTTCAGATTTTCAAAAAAAAAATTTTAGGTAGAAGGATATGGCTAAAATTTATTGAAAACAAATACTTCTTATACTTTCAAACTCAATTCAAATAAGATTTTTTGATTTCTCATTCCTTGATTATTTATTACATCATTCAAACATAATTATTATGATGAATAACAACAAACACCAAACCTATTTTACTTAAGATTCAACGTAGAAAAAAGCAAATGAAAGCAGAATTTTGAAAATGCAAAAAGGTTTCATAGGTGGTTTTCAAAATGACGACCATTTTCCCGTATACAAAATTGGCACATTTTTGTTATCCTTCTGATAGCGTTGTAAAGAATTATAGGACTTCTTTGCAAATTTTGGAAACTCAAATCAATCGCTGCACGAAGCTCTGCTACAGAATGATATCTTGTTTTATAAACTTTGCCTTGCAGGAAACCCCATAAAAAAATCCAAAATTGAAAGATCCGGAGATCGAGGCGGCCATCTTACAGGTCCGTTGGTACCAATCCATCTTTGAGGAAAGTTATCATCTAAAAATGGCCTCAAAAGGGCAGAGTTGTGGCTGGGGGCACCGTCTTGTTGGAAATAAACGGAATTATAAAGAGCCAATGGAACATTTTCCATCAGTTCTGGAATAACTTCCTCAAGGATTTCTCGGTAACGACGTGCTGTGAGACCTCCTTCATAAATTCTGTAGACTATTCGTCTTCCAAAAATAAAACATGAGACCCCAACTCCGAAGCGTCCCTGTTGTGCCCTCTCAAAAATTAAATGTTGATTTTCGGCGGACCAATGTCTTATATTATGGCGGTTAAAAATTCCCGCACTTGAAAAATAACATTCATCGGACCAGATAACAAGTCTTCCAAAAGATTCATCGGCAAGGATCTGTTGTAAATACCATTGACAAAATATCATTCGGCGCTCAGAATCGCCTGGGTGTAAATGTTGTACTATTTGGAATTTATAGGGATGAAACTTATATTTTCGCAAAATTCTTTGAGCATCAGACTTGGATACACCAGTTGCTTCCTTTATTTGCTTGCAAGAAGATGAGGGCGCCGCTTCTACATAACCCAACACGTTTATTTGTTTTGTCTCTCTATCTTGTTTGGTATATGCCTTAGGACGGGGCTGGATAAATGATCCATATTCTACTAAATTTGATTTGAGGCGGGAAAATATATCTGGGAGAGGTTGTCTTCTTTCTGGATATCTAATATAAACAAATAAAGAATCCCTAAGAAATTATCGTAAGCATAGCGCTCAAAATATGTTACCTTTGTAAATATAATTCCGAAGCTTCTTGCGGATTTTCATTAGATTGTATAAAACAAACCATCATATCATACTTTTCATTATTATCGTAAACCGCCATTGTTGTAAAATAAATTAAATATTTTGTATCAGGAATTAGAAATATCAAAACAGCAAAAATATTTCACTAATAATCAGAAACTGACAATAGCTCGAGAAGTTTATGACATTTTGCTTTCTGTTCCAAACAAATTAGCCATAGCCTACCTATTATAATTAACTTTCCTCGAAGATGGATTGGTACCAACGGACCTGTAAGATGGCCGCCTCGATCTCCGGATCTTTCAATTTTGGTGTTTGTTGTTATTCATCATAATAATTATGTTTGAATGATGTAATAAATAATTGAGGAATGAGACATCAAAAAATATTATTTGAATTGAGTTTGAAAGTATAAGAAGTATAATAATCACATAAATTTTGTTTTCAATAAATTTTAGGCATATCCTTCTACCTAAAAATTTGTTTTTGAAAATCTGAAATTCTGAGCTTGTTTTTGAAAATAATTGTATACAATTATATATTTTTGGAAAGCCCACTTCATGCTCAATGTATATATGAAATAATATACAGGGTGTTCCTTTCAAAAAAACATATGTTTGCTCCATAACTAAAAAACAGAAGGTGCTAGCAAAAAAATAACTACGCCACTGGATTCTACGAGAAAAACTCTATAAAAACAATTTTTAACTTCTTCGATAAGTTCAAAGATAACTGAGACACGGAGGGTGCCTGAAAAGTGATATTTTTCAATTCCACCCTGTATCCCGACAACCGGAAGAGCTATTACAATTCTGCTTGCGCCATTATTAATTTCATAAAAAAGTAGCACACTGTCGCGAAAACCGCAATGCTCTATCTTTACTGATAAGGGAGATACCCCGCAAAAGTGCCCAAAATGGGATACCCTGTACTCGTCATACAATTCCCTGATAGCTATAATTCATTATCATTTCCGAGATCTTCTCTTCCCAGTTTTTTTCTTAAAATTAGTCATAGAATCAACCTCTTGATTATTAGTATGTCTTCAAGGAACACCCTGTATAAATAGAATACACATTGCACATTATAATAAATAATGTAAGGTGAACACTTCATCATGAAGTAAAACTATTGTATTTTTCCACATATTTTGAGGTACGACACTTTTGAAGTGGGGGTGCAATATACAGACTCCGAAACTCAGGATAGATTAAATGTTCGCCTACAAAACGGGGTTTCTTGGGCGGAAATATACCCTCAATGAAATTTCCGAAAATCAAAAGTGATACTGCGCATGCGTCCAGCAGCTGGCGGAACTTGTCGCACCTATATAAAATATAAAAAATAGCTTCGAGCGTCAGTAGATACTCGAGTTGATGTCAGAGAGCAAATTTGTTTCTCTCTGCCTCATGAAGATATTCTCGTAGTTTAGATAAAACTCGTTCCGCGTTGAAATTTTCGGTGAATTATGTCCGAAGAAGTGATGGATGAGCTTTCCGTTTATGCCAACACCTCCGAGAATTCCACCAAAATCGACAACTTTTACTTCTACGAGGTGAGTTGTTTCTTCCTACATTGAAAGTTTCGTTCTTATTGATGATTGAATAAGATGAATGTACGAAAGCGTAGAAAGATCAATGTTGCGTGTATTTAAATGATATCTGAATTCTGACGGGAAAAAAGTTTGGCATTTCATCTCTGTTGACTTACTTTTTTCCCGGATATATATCACATATACAGGGTGGTCCGTTTTTTAAAACGGAAAATTTAACAGCGTATATAGTACTCGTCGAAATAATAAAAAAACTTCCTATGAACATATACTTTTAAAGGCTTCGTTTTTGAGATATTGGGTGTCAAAAATATCCTTCTGAATATATTTTTTCAATCGAAAGGTAGAAACGGTAGATAGATTAACGAAATTTTTCACAGATACTAAACTTTTCGAGATTTATTAGGTTTAATAAAAATTATTCATAAAAACTATCCAGTGGCGGCTGAATCTGGGGTGGCGAAGGTAATAATTACACAAATTTTTCGGGTAATTATTTTTCGAGTTTCAATGAAAAAAGCTCGCTTGTAAGATTATATAACATTTTTTAGTTGAATAATACTACTTGATATCAATTAAAGAAGTAGGCTATGTTACTCACTGTTCACTGTTTTGAAGACAAATAGCAGGATATCCACTGCGGTCTATGGCCTGTTGTGACTCTTCTAATACGTAAATGATTGATTTGCAATGGTTACATGATTGGTTTGATAAACGGCCAATGCTAACTAGATTTAATGAATTACAATGTTTCTTTCATTGGGTTTAGAGACAGGCATAGGTTTGGTTTTCATTTTTCCTTCTGAAACGGAGCTATTAGATAAGAAATCTAACAGGGCAAAAAAATTGTATTTTGAAATGCACGCCCCTGAAAATATGTAACTCATTCATGAAGTGTAATAGGTCTAAAAGTTAGCTCATTGATATTTCCACAATAGATGTGAATTTCATCACAATCCGTTATAGCATTCCTGAGAAATCAATAAATAAGCGATTTTTTAGAGAAACTTGAACACCCTATATCTCGAAAACGAAGCGTTTAAAAGTATATGTTCATAAAAAGTTTATTTATTATTTCAACGAGTACTATACGCTGTTAAATTTTCCGTATTAAAAAACGGACCACCCTGTATATACACTGTTGATTGCTGTTGTTGTGCTATAGTTCCGAAAATTGAGTCAATAATACGGTCTCCGAGAAAGAACTGCAAGTCCTTTTATCTTCCATTCGACTTCGCGGTTATACGTATATTACTAAACAACCACTAAATTCGCAATTTTTTGAAATCAAATCACAGAATTAGACTGACGGAAGTGTCATCTGATATTTGATTACTTCAGAAGAATGATAAAGATGCCTACAACGCAGGTGTCCCTACTGTAAAAAACTTAAAATTTCACGTCGATAATTTTCAGATTTCAAAATAATGTACCTAATATCTTCTCAATATTTTTCGTCCTTCCTTCTGTCACAGTAAGAAATAGTGTATACACGGGAAAAATATTAGATTTTAGCTCACGGTTTTTTGTCTCCCTCCGCTACGCGTCGGAGCTAAAATCCACTACTTTTTTCCCTTGTACAATAAATTACTATTTTCTACTGCTATAACACAATATTGCTCTTGTTATACGACGCTATACATAATAGTGGAGTATACTACGGCCTTGCCAAAAATGTTATCTCGGAAACTAAGCGAGATAGAGGTATAGTTACTTTGGAGAAAATGATCCCCATCAAATTTTGAGCAACTTTGGTTTTTGTGTGTGGTCTGTCTGTCTGTACTCTGTGGTAATCATAAATCGATATATCTCCGGAACCCTTTGACATATCGACTTGAAATTTCGCCATCTTATTTTACTCAAAACAATATCATGTCATTTAAATATGAAGGAAATCGGAAAACTCTAAGGTGGTTTTTCCGGGTTTTTTCGATTTTTCACCGGAAGTTTCTTGTAACCACTCTACAAATTGCAAAAGTGGTCCGATCGTTTTCTTTTTTCGTGAAAAAAAACTCTATCAGGGAGAGACGAATCCTATTGAAATTGAGCAGGGTCGGAAAATTTCAAGTGGGTTTTTCAAGGAGATTTTCCGGAACACACGGTTCGCTTCAAAACGACATATCTTCTGAACCAATAGACTAAATCCAAATTTGAAAAATGCGCCGTGTGCCTCTTTGATGACGCAACAAATTATTATACATATCACCATTTTTTCGTGCATCCATCGGAAAATGGAAAAACAAATTAAAATCAAAACATGCTATCTCGGAAACTAAGCGAGATAGAGGTATAGTTAGGTACTTTAGAGAAAATGATCCCCATCGAATTTTGAGCAACTTTGGTTTTTGTGTGTGGTCTGTCTGTCTGTCTGTCTGTACTCTGTGTTAATCATAAATCGATATATCTCCGGAACCCTTCGACATATCGACTTGAAATTTTGCCATCTTATTGTACTCAAAACAATATTATGTCATTAAAATATGAAGGAAATCGGAAAACTCTAAGGTGGTTTTCCCGGGTTTTTTCGATTTTTCACCGGAAGTTTCTTGTAACCACTCTACAAATCGCAAAAGTGGTCCGATCGATTTCATTTTTCGTGAAAAAAAACTCTATCTGGGAGAGACGAAGCCTATTGAAATTGAGCAGGGTCGGAATAGAAACGTGTATTTGAAGTTTTGGTGACGGAACATTTGAACTTTTGGTGGGGAATATACTCGGGAATATCATTCACCATTTTATTGAACAGTAAAAATAAGAGTTTTTTTAATCGGATAAATTTCCCTGGCTAAGCAGAAACATTTGAATAGTAAGGAAATTCATTCAATTCGCGACCAAGGTCATCATCTGATTTAGCGATGAAATGAAAACTACGGAAAAACATTCCTAACTCCTGGCTTAGATTGAAAGTTTACGAAAGCATAAAAATGCCACTGTTGTGTGGATTTTATTTTATTTCTTTTTTCAGACTTGACTTCTTTATTGAAGCCTGAATTCGAGGCTTTTTTCTTCGAATTCTGACTTTTTTGTCTGAATTCAGACTCATACTACACACCATGTATACCGGGTGTAACAGAATCATGGTACACCAAACCATTTTGATGAACTTAAATTGGTGATAAATCAAGAAATTTTACAGTTTTGACAGAATTCAATTTTTCAGCATTACACCTGACAATATTAGTAGATCAGACTCGGATCAGAATATAGTCATGGCACACTCGAATAGGAAATCAAAAATGATATTATAATCAATATTGAAGTTTGAAAAGTCACTTATACGGTATCATTTGATTCAGAAAATGATGCAGAATTTGAAAATGCAATGATTTACAGGGTGTTCCATTTGAGATTCGAAAGTTATTACTACTTCCGGTGGGACACCCTGTATAATCGAAATTATTTTCCTAGTATGCGCCCTATGATACAATTGAAGTCTGCAAAATATCAAAATCCTAGTATAAACTATACTTTCGCTTTTTATATAGGCGTTGGGTAAGCGTAATATATCAATCAACGATATAGGGAATAAATATATTTATTTCTGACAGTGACATTATAAGCTTATATCGTCATAGTTACGATATCTATAATGAGGGTCATAACTCCCTTGGGATGTTATAGATGCTATAATTCCCCCTAGCTAAAATTAAATAAGAAATGCATAGCAACAACCACGCAATAACGTAGCAATAAGGAATCTCCTATTCGCGGTAGTCAAGATCATCATCTGACGTTCTGATGACATTGAAACTATACGGAAAAACATGTCTAACTTCCAATCGGGAAGGTATCTAATGAATGAAATCAGTCAGAAATAAAATTATCTATGTATCACGGGAATTATAGAGCCTTAATAACCTCTGGCAATTGCTGTCCCTCGGGCCAGAGGCCCTCGGGACGCAAACTTTGCCATCGGTAATTAAGGCCCTCATAATTCCCTTAATACATAAATAACTATTGAATAAGCATCACATCATTCATTATAGACGTTTTGACGTACTGACCTGCAAATAATAATAAAATCAATCAACCCCATGAAAACTAAATGATATATAAATGGTACTTACCGAAATCAGTGTATTACCCTCGGTATTACCTAATGTGAATGTATATTCAATGTATTTAATGCATTCAATGCAAACAGTCTGAATTCAAAGAAAAAAGTCTGAATTCAGAGAAAAAAGTCTGAATTCAGAGAAAAAAGTCTGAATTCAGAGAAAAAAGTCTGAATTCAGAGAAAAAAGTCTGAATATAGAAATGAAATGAAATACACACAACAGTGGCCTTTCGACGCTTTCGTAAAAGTTAGACATGTTTTCCAGTAGTCTTCATCATCGCAACGTCAGATGATGACCTTGGCTACCGCGAGTATAGTAATTTTCCTAATAAGTGCGGAAAGTGATTCTTTCCCGCACGCGACTGCCGATGACACGAACGACGCGAAGCGGAGTTCGGGCAAGCAGTCAGCTGCTCATGATCTATAAGGCACAGATCCGACCTGTCCTGGAATACTGTTCCTATATTTGGAGTGCAGCACCCAAACATACCCTGAAACTGTTGAATTCTGTCCAAACCTGGGCAATTCGTCTCGTGGGTGATGCATCGCTCACAAACTCACTTCACTTCTCTGGAACACCGTAGAAGAGCTGGTGATCTGGCTCTTCTTTATAGATATTTTCATGGACGATGCTCTTCTGAAATATCAACAATTATTGTTCCTTCCTTGGCAGTCCCCGCGAGATTTACCCGTCGAGTTGAGGCTTCGCACCCCTTCGTGGTCACTTTGGAGACCTGCAGAACATTTCTTTTCCCGAGGCATATAACCGCCAGAAATTCAAGAAGAACACCAATTCCTACTTTATTTCCCTTGGTTCTCACGATGTTCTCTGAACATTACAGAATATCCCTTTTCGTGGGAACCAGAATATAAAAAAAACATAGACCCCAACAAAGTAGAAATACTACTACTGTGGGAATTGTGGTACGTCAATTATATTATATCA